GATTAATGCATGGAGCAATCTGCAAGCATTTCATAGAGTCTAAACATTAAATACATTCTTATAAGACTAATACCTATTTTGAGCAAAACTAACATACAGGTGAACTGGTCTGGTGTCCATCCAGTTATAACTTTGTCAGTTCTTAGAAAATGCCTGCAGCCTGGGCAAGAGCTGGCATCTGGCCTGTCAGCGTCACAATAGGTTAATATTAATGGGCTCCTTGCCCACAAAAAAAGGACAGAGTTACAGACCTCCTGGAAATTTATTAAATGACCATCCTTGACAGTTGACCATTGAAGATATGACCTTGATGATTCCATATTTGTTTCTGCTTTTAGATCATTTGTTGTTTCAGTGAAATATATACATTTACAAGTACAAAAATATGCGTGCCTCAAAGTAAACCAACTGGTATAGGTGTGCTGTCTACTGCAACAAAATAGCTATAAAGACTTCCAATTTGGTGCGCTGTATTTCAGACATATAAAAATATATTGCATGTCGTAACAAAGGACAGTTTTAAAATGCAAAATTCATAGGATCACAGACATTAGAAATAGAAAAGTCCTTTTGTGTCCTTTAGGCCATCTCACTAACAATGTACAATTGTTCTGTGCAATATATTCCCCAGTGTCTTGTTGAGTCCTATCTTAAATGGCTAGATAGTGGGGTTAGCGCCACTTCCTGTTGGAGACCGTTCTCTAGCTGCATAGATCTCATTGTTAGGATATTATTCCTGAAAAACTCTGCACTTCGCATTGTGTCGCCTAGTAATAACCTTTTATAATCATCATTCCCCCTGGTGGTGGAAATTACATGGAGCCTATTTTATTCTAACTTCCATCACTGGCTTAAACTCTAACTGCTTATGCCAATGGAGGATCAGGCATAGTGCTCATCTCCACCACACCTTCTCTCATCCCTGCCCCACCCACACCAGGCCACCTTGACCCTCTTAGACTCAGGGTGGCATACCGCTATCATACAACCATCTATACCAAAACCCCTGGCCAGTCAATTATGTGACATGAAAAACAATTCATACAATAGCTTTACAAAAAGCAGAATTACAGTTATTGGCACTGTAACATAATGTAGAAAATATAAGATAACATATACTTAGATGACCAGTAATGTCATAGCTTGTGGAAAGCAACAGAGGGTCCTGTGGCACCTTTAAGACTAACAGAAGTATTGGGAGCATAAGCTTTCGTGGGTAAAAAACTTACTTCTTCAGATGCAAGAAGAGAAGGTCTTACCCACCAAAGCTTATGCTCCCA